AAAGGAAATATTCGAATCTGCAAAGAAATGGGTAATTGAGAGATACCAAGTTGACAAAGAGGTTCTAGTCGCTGACGACAGTTTGTAAAGAATAAAATCAAGCTTACCGAAGCAGAGAACGAAAAGAAGATAAAAGAAGGTACATTCCTTTGAAATTTAAGGGAATTTTTTATATCTTTGACAAAATATACTGATTTTTTGAAAAATTGTTATTTTGACACCCAACAGGCGATGTATTCTTATTGCTCTCAGCTATGTCAAGAAATATATTTCGTTCCAGAAACATGATGGGCAGTTCACCTTGGACGCCGAATTTGTTAGACTACTCGGCTTTGAATCTTTCAATAATTAACGTCTACATCAAATCGAAACGCGTATCTAATTGGACATCCACGTTATTTCCACTGCCGTTTCTCTCTGCCATTGATCATCGTACTGAGTGGCAGTCTGGTTACGAAAAATCATCTAAATGGATATCGTTGACTATCAACAATACGGCGGTTGAGCCAAGAACTTTGTCATTGAGAAATACCAAGTCGATAAGGCTACTATTAAAATTGACGAAGCCTACTACAGCAGTAAGCATCCTATTGGAGTATTCGACTTATATTTCGATATTTATTAACGAAATCCGTGTGTTATTACTACCCCAAGATCCACCTTATTGTCGAAAATTTCCCTGCTGACGTACTTGAAAGCAAGGACACCAAATGAATTGACGCCAAGCCCGTTTCTATCCGTCTTATATTTATCTCCTCATCGCACTTCAACGTGCGAACGGAAGCTTTGAGTCTGACCAACGTATTGCCAGGCTTTTCGACTATTCATTGGTTGAATCCCAGCACTTCTGATGAACGACTTAAAAACTCGACAAGTCTATCATTGTTTCGGTCTTTATCACATCATTCCTCAGGGCTCTCTTATGGAAGCACAAAAGTGAATGGATATCATCATACACAAAAACGGAAACGTGGATTAGTGAATCAATTAATGATGTAGAAATTGAAGAGAGTCTATACACAAGTAAATCGCTACGTTATCAAACACTACAACGTCACAGAATGGGAAAGTAAAGAACACAGACAAAGCTTCGGAATTGTTGAGAAGACAATCACCACTCAACGCACTATCACAGTCCAAGTCATTCGTCATATCATTTCTTATCAAAACGAAATAGGTTCATACAAGCTTGACACCCATCTTGCTGGATCTCTTGGATTCAAGTCAACAGGAATAGCACAAAAAGAAATGCAGGCCCACTTCTCATCCTATTTCAAAGTCACCAAACTTGATGTCCATATCTACAGTATAAGTATGGCAATTCTTCTCTGGTACTTCTGATATACCATGATAATGGTCAATCACAGAGACAAATGGGCAATTACATACAAGAGGTTGTCCACCTGGTTAAGTACACAAATTAACAACAAAGAAGTAGAAAAAGAGCTTCTTGAAGCAGCAAGAATTTTCATTGTCAAATGTTATCAAATTGATGAAGAAACTCTCCGACTGGACAAATCTTTCAAAAGTTCTCTTAGCTACTGAAGATACTGTCTCTGAAGAAGTTAAGAAGAAACTTGAAAAAATTACAGAAGAAGCTATTGTGGTAGAAGTTTCTGAGAGACAAGCCATTGGAATTCTCAAAATAAAAATTGATTGTGCAAAGAGGCTCCAAAGTAGTGGTTGGTTCTGATCAAATGATTCATATGTTATTGTTCTTGATGCCACTGCCAAGAAAGTCACTAGAACGAAAATAGTGCCACTGACAAACAATCCAGTCTGGGAAGAAGTGCATTATGTGATCAGTTTATGGACCAAATGATAAGATCACCTTGAAGATCTTTGACAAAAATCTCTTTGTGTTAGATACTTATCTTGGTTTCTATGAACATGGAGGAGAATCTATAAGAAAGCAATAAGAGATAAAATGGTTATGGCAATGCACAAGACAACAAAGATAGGATGTGATCAATTGGTTGCAGAGGCTATCTGCCTGCTTTATGGACATCCAAGTGTGTCTTCCTAATGTGTGTGACACATTGACGACAATGGGTGCTGACGAAGGTTTTCTATTCCCAGCTGACAGTAGCTCTGATGCCTGTGTCTTGTCTTCACAGGCACAACAAAATGGAGTTTAGTTTTATGGGATTGTTTTTTAGTGGGATGTGGTTTTGGTTTTGGTAAAGATGTGGTTGTGGTTTTGGTAAATATGTGGTTGTGGTTGTGGTTTTGGTAAAGATGTGGTTGTGGTTTTGGTAAATATGTGGTTGTGGTTTTGGTTTTGGTAAAGATGTGGTTGTGGTTTTGGTAAATATGTGGTTGTGGTTTTGGTTTTGGTAAAGATGTGGTTGTGGTTTTGGTAAATATGTGGTTGTGGTTTTGGTTTTGGTAAAGATGTGGTTGTGGTTTTGGTAAATATGTGGTTGTGGTTTTGGTTTTGGTAAAGATGTGGTTGTG